CACGCCAGTGAGCGGGACCCTGTCCCGGCCCCTGCTTCCGGCCACGGCTCCTCCCCTGCAGCAGCTGCTCCCCCCCCATACACACACACAGAGGGGGTTTCCTGCCGTATGGAGACGCCGTGTTAAGTCAGTTTTGTCGGCTGACTCAAAGGACATTTCATGTTTGTGTAAGGAAATACCTGGTCCTTCACAGTATGTAAAAAATATTTTTACCCTAAATTTGATGACATACCTGCCCAGTCCTCCTTTCCTTACTCTGGCCAGTGCCAGGCCATTTACACCTTGTACAGAGGACAGAAATGGCACAGCTCATAGAATCACAGAATGGTAGGGGGTTGGAAGGGACCTTTGGAGATGATTTAGTCCAAGGTCCCTGCTAAAGCAGGTTCACCGACAGCAAGTTGCACACGATTGTGTTCAGGTGGGTTTTGAATATCTCTAGAGAAGGAAACTCCTTACTGGACAGCCTGTTCCAGCACTCTGGCTGAATGCCAGAGTAAGAAAGCTTTTCCTCATGTTCAGATACTTGTGTACAAGTTTGTGCTCACTGCCCCGTGTCCCGTCACTGGGCACCACTGAAGTGTCTGACTCCATCCCCTTGACACCCGCCCTTTAGATATTTAATAAGCATTGATAAGATCCCCCTCTGTCTTCTCCATTCTAAACAGACTCAGGTCTTGCAGCCTTCCCTTGTAAGAGAGGTGCTTCAGTCCCCTAATCATCCTTGTAGTCCTGTGCTGGACTCTTTCCAGTAGTTCCTTGTCTTTCTTGAACTGGGGAGCCCAGAACTGGACACAGCATTTCATGGTTCTCATTATTCCCCTTTCTCACCTGCAGCATGTTCTCCTGTGTGTGTAGTATGGGTTGGTGAGAGCCTGGCAGGCATGGGAGGGTGTTCATTTTGATGGACCTTCAGGTACTCACGTAGTGATGCAAGAATTTACCATAATAAGGAAACTTATGTTTGTTCTTTGGACCTGCAGTATTCATCCCGTATTTTGTATTTGAAAAGTTGGGCAATGAGATTATCACAAATGCTCTTGTTATTCTAGAGGTGTCTTCTTAACAAGAGAAATTTTAAGAACAGCTGGTAATTGGATTGATGTGCTTTTAACTACTGAGGACAGAGAGGATGCAAGAAATATCTCCCCTGATTCCCAGGAGTTGTTAATAATATAATTCTTGGATGCTTACGTAACTTCTTTTTGGATTAAAAAAATACTCCCTAAATAAAGATGAATGCACTGTTTTCTCTTTCACTCTCTCCTGGTCTCACCTTTTTTTTTTTTTTTTTTTTTTTGAATGAGAGGAGTAAACTCAAGGAGTACGTACCAGGAATGGAGATAACAGATGCTACAGAACTGCACGTGTGGTGTCTGTATTGTCTTGCACGTGCGGTCTACTTCAATCAGGCTCTTCTGATTCCTTTGTTTCTTCTGTTTCAAACCTTAATCTCTTTCCATGATCATAGTGTTTTCTTTTTCTGTACTCTATTTAATTGCCTTGAGAGAAAAATGTAATAAAAATCTTACTGAATGAGACAGACCATTGCTGTGCTACACAGTATTTTTTTGTTTGTTTTCTCCTATCTTTTACGTTCTTCCCTGTCTTCTTTCTCCCTCTCACTTCTCCTTGCAACTTTTGTTGTAAGTTTTTTATATCTGTTGTCTGTGTGACCCTGAAAAAGCTCCTTTAATTTGTGTTCTGCTATGCTAGATTAGTTTAATAAAACAGGATTATCCAATTCATTTGGCAGCAATTATTTCATTTCTAAACAATTTTAATTATTTTGAATGACTGCTTTTCTTCTGGGCACATTATCTTCTTGATGTTCAGACTGCTTTCAGTGCACTGAAGTTGTTAACACCTTTACTTTTTGAGCCTCCTCCATTATTTTCCATTGCCCCTTGTTTTGGATAGCCTGTTGCTTTTTGTCATGCAGACACTGGGCCAGGTTTCACTTGACCTCATTGACTCAGCCTGTGAGTGTGACCTCCCGCTCTGAGAGAAGGTGCCTTTGGGCAAAATCGGTTGTGTGAAGCAGTGACATTTTAAAAAGGGAGAGTAGCACTGAGGGATGAGCTGCTTGTGGGTGTTAGCTTTGTGCTGGCAAGCCTGTGAATGGTGCACAGGCCGCATGGACTCCAAAGCTGAGGTGCGCCTGGGGAGGAGCACCTCTGTGTGACTGTTGAAAGAGCTCTGCTTTTAAATAAACTAATAACAAGTTTCTTCCCTAGGAGGATGTACATTTGATGATGGTCCTGGACCCTGTGACTACCATCAAGACCTGTATGATGACTTCGACTGGGTACATGTCAGTGCTCAAGAGCCTCATTATTTGCCACCCGAGATGCCTCAAGGTGAGCACCTCTTTCATATACTCAAGGGATAAGTTTCTCTATTAAGAAACACTGAGCCTCACTGAATATGGCCTTCCAGTTTGACATGTATAATGGAGGTAATTAAAAAACCCAAACATATAACAATCTTTGTAATTGAGAAGCCTTCTTGGATCAAATCCCTCTTTAAAGTTAAGGGGAATAGGGAGAGAAGAAAGGAAGCCATAACCTCTTCTTTATTCTCTGTGGAATTCTTGTTGACTTGTATTGAAATTCTGCGTTGTAAATGACAGTTAATGTATCAATTGAATTATTCAGGTACTCAGTAGAACTAATGGTGAAAAAAAGGATACATGCAAAAACCCATAGACTGATTCCTTCCCTCCCCTCCCCCAACCACTCATCATCTGAAGGTAATCAGAAAAGGTTTGATTTATGGAAATATTGCCGTTGTTAATTACTATTTAGGACAGGTAATGAATAACTGAAGAGGTATACCCTACATGACCTTGCCTGCTCACCTTTGATGAACAGCTTAATCGGCACTTCCCAGACAGCATGATATGCTGAGAAAATGAAAGCATTTGAAATTCAGTTACTTTTTCCAATTAATAGTACATTAAGTAATTAATCATGCAGAGGAGGAAAAAAGGTCATGGCTATTTTGTTTGTATCTAAAAGGTTTTGTGGAGTGAGGTATGTGTGGAGAAGGAGTGGGAAATGTTGCCACAGAGAAGTAACCTAACCTCTACACCATTCCTTCCCCTCCTTTTTATATATTGTTGTATGTTATTAATGGTGGTTAGTATGTATAATTTTACTTCTTAAGTGCTAGCTTGCTGGTTTCCCCTGCTTTGGAGTCACTGATATAAGCAGCTATTACTGTGCCCCATATCTTACAAAATATGTTAATTAAGCAAGATCCACACTTTACTTAATTGGCTGCTTGGTGCTTCAAGTTTGCATATGGAAGAGTAAATTTAAGCCCTGAAGCCTCGACATTCATGATGCTGATGGTCTTGTATTAACAAATTCAAAATACTATCTCCCCTAGGCTAAAGGCAGAAATCGGTTGATTTTCAGTTTGTGTTTTTCAGAGTCTTAAGGGGCTTGTTAAAGTGGTAGAAGCAATTTGATTGTGATGGAAGCACCATTTTGAAAAAAAAAAAAAGGTATTCTCAGGCTTCAGACACACTTTATATAGGAGGAAAGTAATGTGAAGAATTGAATTTTGAATGAATCTCTGTGACATGATAGCTGCTTCTTGCTTCTCCCAAATAACATACCTGTTGTCTGTGGGAAATTTTCACACTTTTGACTGTGGCACCTGATCTCTGTTCATTTCTGCTACAGGCCCTTTTCCTTTGAGTGCATCATATGGGCTCTTCTGGAAGAAGTAATTTTTTCGCATCTGTATTGGAAAACTGTGGCTGCTCAATAAAACTTAGCAGAATAAAGGAGTGCTTCAGAGACAGTCCAAAACAGATATATAAGATCTGATTTTTTTTGTTTGTTTGTTTTGTTTTTCTTCTTCCTCTGGTCAGAATTCTTAAACTTTTTTGACCACTGTTTCAAAGTGTGATTTTTGGTGATGGAGACTAAAGTAGTCTCACCTGATGAGCTGCCCTTAAGAAGTTCAGTCTTCAGATTCTGAAGATCTGTGCTGTATTTGTGTTTGAAATAGTTTTGTGTTTGAAAGAAAACAGTTTTAAACTAAGTCTGTGTAACAGTTCTAAAATGAGCACTGAATTCCTCTGGTTGTTCTGCAGGAAGTGGAGCAGCAAGAAGGTCAAGTCAAAGCAGGAGGAAAATAATTGTGTGCAAACATCTGCTGTGGGGTTTTTTAACATTGCTGACCCTGCCTGATTACTGTTGAAACTGTAGCTTAAGAAGCAGTTCACTGCTTGTGAAGTTACCCAGGTAGAATAAGATGTAGTAATGAAAGTATAGGTAAAATTAAACCACTGCTGTTTTCACTTTGAAAAATGCTGGGTTTTCTGATGTGTAGAAGCCAGGGGTCTCCTAGGCACATGAGACAGCCCACTTTTTTTTCCTGCTCAGTCAGAGAATGAGGGGAGACAAGGGGGGTGCCCAAGAAAGCTGAGCAGTGCAGAAATATAAGTGCTAGCATAGGGACTGTTCTATCCATCTCTTCTTCTGAGGCTCTGTAATCCTTCTGCTGGGCACCACGTTCCTTAGTGTATGTGTTGACATTCTCTCCATGGTTGCCTTTTGTAGTGTTTGGAGCCCTCCTTTCTTACAACGTCCAGGCCTCGGCCTTAGTTAGGGGACCATGTATTGCAGTCCCGCTTTGTCTCAGGAGGAGCTGTTTACCAGTATGTTAAAAACATAATTTAAGATGAATATATGGCTTTTAGAGCTCTGTCAGATTCACCTAGAATCACTGTAGTCATGAAGGATTAAATTCAGTTTTCAAATGTCAAGTTTTGATCTTCATTAGCTTCAGAAAGTTCTATTAAAAAATCAAGTGAGAGAAAAAGACGTAAAAAATGAGGAGAAAAGTTTGACAATTGAGTTTGTATTACTTTTGATTCAAGGGAGGGTTTTAATGTGATGGTGTGCTTTGGAGAAGAATAAATACTGGAGAATTTCAGACCTAATGGCACATGTCTTGGCGTGCTATGAAAATGTGAGAACTTGGCCTAATGAAAAGGATTTTGCAAGTACAGCAGTAGTAAATACTATTGGTGAGGCAAGTGTAATTACCTGTGAGTAACTAGTGCAACATCAGAATCTCTTTATACTGACCTGCACTGTATTCCTGAAATTATTAGCAAAGGCAAAAACCACTTATCTTCCATTATGGGAAAAATAAATATAGTACATAGTGATTAATTTTGAAATACAGCAAACACTTAGGGCAGGTGTTTGTGTACAGCTTTAAATATCAACTTGTAAATAGCTTGAACTACAGCTTACATTATAAAACCTTTGGATTACTTATTAAAACCTTGGAAAACAACTGATGTCCAACATTAGGTTTCTAAGAGCATTTAAAAGCAAGTATGCTAGATGAAGCTAAAGGTCTGCTGCTTTTGAGAGTAGCCATTAGCAGTTGCCTAGGGAAGAATGCAGAGGTAGGACAAATGAGGGGTGATCATGCCCTGAGTGTTCTCCTGGTTTCCAGCTGTTTGGCATTTAGCAGTTTCCTCAACCAGAAATGGTATTTATTCATGGTGTTCTCAAAGAATTAATGTTTTTCCTGTAAGCTTTGTCTTACCTTCTGTGGACTCCTTGATGGCTTTTAGTGTCTACTGTGTCCCGTAACAGAGTGCCAGCATTTGCTGCAAATCATGGGATGATGCAGCTCTCTTTACTTGTTTTGAACTCTTTCATATGTGTTGGCATCTCATACTGGAACAGGAAGTGAGTAAAGCCTATTCCTAATCACCTTCTCCAGCCCATTCAGGTTTTTTAAATACTTTGAAAATTAAATACACACTCTTCTTCTGACATCATGTTAGGTTGAATGTTCCTTCTGTAGAAATGGTTCCACAGCTGTGGATTTGCTTTTTGTATGAGGCAAGGTTGGTCACCAGGTGCTCTATTTTTGTAGATGTGGTGACAAAAACAAAGTATTTACCTGTTGGTCTTTGTACCTCTGAAGAAACTCACTTCCTGTACGTTGAAGCAAACCTTTTTAAACCATGCATTATATTTTCAGGTCTATGGTTTTTATGCATTATACTATAAGAGATGGAAATTAGAAAATGCTGTTAAGATGAAACTAAATATTGTTTAGATTTTTTCCAGTTATTTTAGGGGCCTATTCACAGGGTGTTTCTGCAAAACTTTTTGTCTGCAGAAGTCTTAAATACAGTGCTTTCTTCTATCACTGGGAATGTGTGAAGGGGTTGTTTTATCCATATTACTAGTACATTTACTGATGTTTTTATGTTTAAATAGAGAAGATAGTTTATTTACCCTGTTTGGTTTGCCCATTGAAAGCAACATTATTCTGAGGCTGTGTAGGGTCAGGGCATAAGAGCCTGTAATAGGCTGTGTGACAGGGAGCCACTTAATGAAGGTTTTTTTTTTTTTTAATATAAGGGCTATTACCCTCCTGGATACAAATGCAATTTGAAGAACATCTAAATTATAGTGGACGATAGTGATGTGCTGAGATGGACATCTTGTTTCTGATCTCTCAGAGGAATAATTTACCAGAGTTGGATGTGTGCTAATATTTTTTAATTGGTTTTCTAGAAATATGAGGAAAATAAATTACCAGTAGTGAGGGAAGGTCTTTAGTTGCACTTGGCATCTGACATGACTAAAGAACAACAGATTAAATATCTAAAGATGTTCCTTAATATTAGAGTGTGTTTCAGAAATGCAAAGTTTTTTTACAGTGAAGAGTAATGCAGAAATTAATTTTTTACTTTGCAGAAATGACATATAGCCTTACATGTCCTGTTTTAAAGAATAAAACTAAATTCACTGTTCATTAATGTGCCCCATCATTCCCAGCGACGTTGCCGTGTTGCTGCCTCCGTCCAGTTGCTGCAATGCGCATATTGGTGTGCAGTCAGGTCAGAGAACTAGTGTAGGTTTTAAAATGGAAACTCAGAGTAGGGGGAAAGGGAGGGCAGAAGTATGCAGCATGTGTCAACTCCTTGACCCAGTACATTGTGCATCTGTAAGAAGAGTTGTTATGCTGGTGCAGCTGATGAGGACCATGGGACCTGCTGGAATCGGTGGGTACAGGGGTCGTGTAAACCTCTGGGGCACCTGAGAGAAATATGAAAATTGCACCCTTGGATTGGCATGCAACTTTAATTTTCCTGTACAAATAGCATTGAGAATTTGTTGTGATCTGAAAGGTCAGTTGTACACTATTTAAGTTCTGCCTTCTACAGAATGGAAATAGCTTTTATGTCACCTGAATGACCCAAAATGAATTTCAGTACAGGCCCAACGTAAGTGTTTATGAAGTGTATAAATGAGAGAGGGGAGTCAGAAGGTCATGAAATTTGTGTTTTAATACAGTTTTCATATGA